AATAAGCAGTAAGTTATCGCAAAAATAATTTATTCGAAAGTTTAAAGTTAATGCTTTTAAATAAATTCCACAGGTACTATTAATGAAATTGAAAAAAATAAAGCATGCCTCTTAATTGAGATTATACAAAAAAATAAATTAACAGTATATGGAGTTAAACTTTTTTCAAAGAACAGATTAATAGAAGATCTTCTAATCACAAATTTTAGTCACCTTTTAATGATATCAATGCTATTAATTTTTCTTTTCCACCATTACCTTCTTATTCGCTCAATATGGATTCATTGGAGAATTATTTTAAAGAATGGGCTTCACAGTATGGTCAACTTAAATCTACAAAGATGGAAGTTGAAGAAAAAATGCTAAAATTGTTGTATAAGCTTAGGGGCGCATACTTAATATTTCTCGTAATTCTGGCAGAAAAGTATGAATGAGATAATAATAGGTATTCAACTCACAAAACCTTGCGTGGTTTTGTGAAAGAAAAGGTCAAATCGATTTTAAAAATTAGTAAAAGGCATGAACAAAGAAATTGGGTAAGAATATGAAGGCTTATTGAATTATTCAATATAACACATTGCCTGGCATCTATTCTTGTAGAATCAGGCCTCACTGCGAGATATTTGATAAGAGAAACAAATTATAACCAATTTCTAAAAAGCCTCCTAAATAATGTTGAGGCTAACCACGAAGCCCCCAAGTTTGGCGAATATTTGATATTAAGGTTAGTGTTATAATTATATAATATTGTGACTATGTTTGACTAGATATCTGTAAGCATTAACTTATAAATATTTTTTAACAAAAGAATTAGAAAAAAGAATCTTATTTTTTAAATTAATATTTGGAGATGAATGGCTCAAAATATTATTATTTTTTTTTTATGGGTGTCATCTAAAATCATGAATGAAAATTAGGTGGTTATTAAAATATAATTAAAAATTATCATATCAACATTTTAATTATAATGATAAATATTTGTAATTGTTGGTTAAAATAAAATAAAATTGAATTATTTTAACAATCGAGAATTGTTAGAAGTAAATATTTATCAAATCTATTATAGTCAGGCTTTTACATAATTACACTCTATTATATATTGTATGTTTTCTTTAAACAAATTTCAATTTTGTCTCAAGTGTGAAAAATAATACTAAATGCACACTTCCTAAGCTTTAGAATTTTAAATTAAATTTATAATAATCTAAAATTTAGAATAGAAATAATACAAAATAGTATTAATTTAGATTTACTTATATGTCATACAGTAATAAATAAGCATATTTCATATAATATTACTAATATTTTCTGAAAATATTTAAGTGAACTAATATTAGTATTTAAGCATTAATTGTCATTGAAATAGTGATCGGAACGGTCCAATCACTAATATTTGATTTAATATATACAGTAGATACAGATCTTGAATATTATATACAAAATAAGTAAAGTTTATCAGGTAGATTAATATTTAATAGTTATCAGTCGAGTCTTTAGCAGATGAATATTGAAGCTAGTTTTATTATTTAATATCCAAAAGAAAGAATAAGTTCTAAGCTTTCTTTTACATATCGAATCATCAAAAAATTCATCGAAGTATGATTTTTAAAATGGCAACCAAAATAATACTATACAATGTGAATTACCATATTGGTCAAGTTTTTTTATTGGTCTGATTGATGAAAATCAAAATAATGTAAATTACCATATTGGTCAAATAAATTATAAAATTTTCTATTGGTCAGATTTATGAAATCAAACCAACATAAATTAACATGTACTGACTCGATTTTTTAAGTTTTAGAGTCAGGGCTAGTTAATGTTAAGGTAAAAGTATAGATAAGTGCAAGTAGGGTTAGGATAATGGTAAAAGCTTTTATCATCATGCTTTATATAATACAAATAAGTAATTCAATAATTTTATTATGTCCTAGAAACTTGATAAAATATTATTTTATTATTTATTAATAATATTTGTGGGGGATAATTCTGGGAATCAGATGATGCTTGGAATTTGAGATTTCAATTTACATGCAATTTACAAATATAAACCTTACTAAAACCCACATATACTCTTTAATTATAAACTCCGACCCTAAATTCTAACCTAACTCTAAAAAAAACGCTAAAAAAAATATCTCAAAAATTTTTTAAAATTTTATAATAAAATAATTCAAATTTCAAGCATCATCTGATTCCCACCATCATCCCCCACAATATTTATTTATTTTACAAATATGATTGATAATTTACTTGATAATTCCTGTGATAATTTCATAACATGAATCTTTGTTAATAAGATATTAAAAATAACAAAATATGGGATCTTTGCTAGAAAAATGACCCTTCTAGGCTATGTGAATTTTATATAGTTTGAAATTTGTATGAATTTTAATATACTTAATATTACGAAAATTTGATTTTTTTTTTTTCTTTAATATCTAAAATTCATTTGTGAACAACTTTATTACTACAAAATTGATGATCTACTTGTCATCAGCATTAATGCCAAAGCATATCTGTTATCTGATTTCTATTTTACATACGTACTTAGGTTCGTAATCTAATTTTATTATAATTCTCGTGAATCGTGGCAATAAAAATTTTATTTTAATTTCTATTTTCTACTAATATTACATGATCAAAAAAAAGAGTTTTTTTCTTCTATATTTAATTTTTTTTCAAGCACTTACTCACTTTGTATTTTTTTAGCTTCATTTTACTGTACTTAAGTTACTTTGGCTTTTAAGTTCTTTATATAAAATGTGATATGACAACGCTACTTTTAAGCCAGAGAATTAACTCATTTAGCTTGATTTAATTTAATTTTAAAATTTAAAATAACATATGTATTCATAATTTATCCGTTCTGTCATGTCTCTTTCGACCCAAACCTTTTACTAGCTACATTAACTAGTTTTTGTGAAGCAACTGACTTACTAGTTTGGATCTTCAATGAAAAAAATTTATACATTGTATTTCAAATTAAAATAGTATTACATCATATTTTAAAACTTCATTTTCAAGTTTGTAAGCTTGTTCTTTATCTATTCCAACACCAATCCCAAAGCTTATAGCATTTTATAAGAGAATTTCTTGAAAAACTTTTGTATTTTGGAATATTTGTATAAAAATTCAAATACTTTTTTGTCATCTTTGAAATCATCTAACCCCCTTTCAAGATGATCTGCCAACAATAATTCAATATCATTAATTTTTTGTGATTTATTATGATAAATATCTAAATAAAATTCAAAAGCTTTTTGGAAATTTTTTTTGTTTTCAAAATGCAATGCTAGCCATATGGGCTAGGTGCAATAGAAAAGGGGGAAATCGACAAATTTTCAAAAATTTTTTTTTTATATAAATCAATTCAGAATAAGATTAGAACCATTTTTCACTTAAAACACAAAAGCAGTTGTATTAATAAAATTTTGTAATATAGCTCTTTAAAGTTTGTATTTTCTTATAACTTATTATAAAATTTATAACATAAAAATTGATCTTCTGAAGATCTTTTGTTTTGTTGATTTCCCTCTTTTCTATTGCACCTAGCCCATATATTTGTATTTTGAAACATTATTAAAAACTTGTGAATAAAGATCAAAAAAAAGCTTTACTATAATTTTTAGAAAGTCCTAATCCGTTTTCATATTGCTTAGCTAAATAAAATGTTGCATCATATTTGAAATTTGAATCTTTATTAGCAATAGAAAAAAAAAAACAAGCATAAGAGGTTTTGTAATTATTTTTATTGTAAGTGGAAACTCCTATTTTAAACAGATCTTTATACTCTTCTTCAAGAATTTTTTGGTTTGCAGACATCTTTTTTTGAAATTCTTAATAGAATATGATTTTTAATTTATTATTTTTTAAAAAGTAAGATTTCAATTAATTGGCATACATAGTATTTAATCAATTTTTTAATTGTCGTATTTAAAAATAGGACTGACAATAAAGTCGTTTTTGAAGAATTTTTAATTTTTTAAGTCCCACTAGATGTGATTAACTTTGGTTTGAATAAACTAATAGTTTGTAGTTTGTAACCCTAAAAATGATTATGTTTTTCTTTACCATATTTTTACGTAATAATGCACAATGCTCACCTGCACACATTATTTCAAGTAAGCCATGAGCATTATTTTAATACAAACAAAAAATACATTAGAACTAAATTTTGTACTAAGTAAAGCTTAACAAAAATTGTTTTTTAGAACAACTTCTATTAAGTTCAAAGGAGGGTTTACTTAGTACAAAATCTAGTTTAGATGTATTTTTTTAAATTTTACTAAATAAAAATCTCTTATTATAGAAAGCAGTGTTGTCACTGGAAGACTAGAATCCCACTAGACATTCAGATTCTTCCAGTGTTCCAGTGGTTCTAGTGAGAAATCCCACTAGAATGATTTTCTCACTGGAACGTATTCACCTGATTGGTTAATCTAAATGTGATTATTGGCCAATCAAATTAGTTAGTTGGCGACTAATTGTTTTCGAGCTTCCAAAGCTATTTAATGCAATATATTCAGTTTACTTTCCAACTCATCTTCTGATACTGCTTCATGATTCTAAAATAATGATCCTTTTTTGTTCATGTATCTTATTATGATAATATAATCAATATTTTTTATATACCAAAAACATTGTAAAATTCGTCAACAAAGTCTTTAACATTATCGCACGATCTATGCCAGATTACTCAGGTTACTCTGGTTATCAGAAATGATCCTGTTTATGATCCGGCAACATTCGTATAAATGGGCAGGTATCTGGGGCTTAAATTTTATGCCGTTTAATCTTTGCTCACTATCCCCGGTGGTTAATTCAAATTAGCAAACCAGAAGCCACTGGAAGTCACTGGACGTCACTGAAACTTCTATTCTAGTGATAAAAATCTTCACTGGAATGGTCCAGTGACATTTGATTACTGGAAGCTATAATGTTTCCAATTCCATCCAGTTAAGTCCAGTCATCTGCCAGTTTCAGTAATTCCTACTAGAACGTTCTAGTAAACAACACTGATGGAAAGTGCACAATTTTGGGACGCACATGTGCGTTATTTTGAAATTATATAAATAACTTACAAAATTAAACCAAATCATATTATAAGAATTTATAAAAAATTTCATGCAAATTATTTATTATTACTTAAAGATATTGAAGATTTTGAAACAAAAGAATTAATCTTATATTACAGGAGAGAATTAAAGTTCGAATTAGAAAAATGTTCAAAGAATATTATAAGATTTATAAAAATCTTTATCAAGATTATATTAATTAGTACTTAAGGATATTGGAGCAAATAAATTATATTTCAATTGTCAGAAGCAATCAAATTCTAATTTACTTTTTTAATTATTATACATATTTAAAAAAAGAAGACAATTATGCTACTCTGGCCTCTTATAGAGATGTTCTTTCATACACACCCAAG